CAAATTATGTTGAGGCAACATTCAAAGAGTAAGTAAGGTTTTTGAAAATGTGAGAAAAGAGGGCACAGCAGAGGATTAGCGTTCCACAGGACACGGACACTGTTAGTATAAGAAAAAGGTACACTAATATCTAAGTACAGGTAGAGAAAGACTGGTAGATGAGTAATTCACCAACATCTCTGATATTCTCAGCTATTAGTTAAATAAGCAGGTAGATTATCAACTGAAAGATAAGAAGAAAAGAGATAAGGCAGATTTGAAGACAGGAGGAGTGGAATAACCATCTATGAGATTTGTGGATCTAAGGGCCGTAGTCAAGGACCCAGGAAACACAAATTATCTTGAATTTACAGTGAGACTGCAGTACTGTTGTGTGTCTCTTTTAAAGCCTTTCAAGTCACTGGAATGTAAGTGTAACAACTGTTTGAGGTTTTACCAGGAAATAGGGAAATAAATATAAGAGAATTGACAATGAGCGCAAAGTAACCTTTGCATTCTGTTGGGTTTCTTTTGTTGTTTGTTTTGTTTTGCTTTTTTCATTCTTTGTAAAGAGATAATTTTTGAGGGACCGAGGAATGATGAAAAGTAGGAACATTAATGGATTAGGAGTACTGGTATGACTAGATAGCTCTTAGAGTCACAGTCTAGATGGAATGAACTCAAAAATGTAAAAGTAGCTGAGTTAATGTATAAGGTATTGCTATAACCTGCAGGTGGTTGGGGAGAATGGATGAGAGATGTGAGAGATGTCAAGAAACTGAGAGGCCAAGGCATATGGTATACTACCTCTGTGGATGTTGAAATTTCAAAGAAATAAAAAAGAAATAATGATAGACAAATGGTAGGTTATGTGCCCTGATCTAGGAGTGAGGAGGGGAACTCCAGAAGTGAGTTTAACAGTGAGGACGGGTGAGGCTTAGTTTGATGGCATTTACTCAAAGAAACTAGAAACGTTTTCTTTCCTTATTTTTTTTTTTTTTTTTTTTTTTTTTTTTTTTTAGACAGGGTCTCTCTGTAGCTACAGCTGGCTAGGATTTGCCTCTGCCTCCTGAATGCTGGAATTAAAGGCTTGTGCCACCACACATCCTGATTGTTAAGGAGCTTCTCCAAGACAGAATATCTTTATCTTAGAGGAAGTTGCTGTATACCATTAGTGCTAAGGAGGCTGTGGAGAAATGGGAACTCTGATACCTGGTTGTAAATTAGTACAGCCAAAATGGACCCAGAATGGGGGTACCTCAAAAAACTAAAAAATGAAACTACTTAAGACCCAGCACTCCCACTCATGAGTATATGTCCAAAGGGGAAAAAAAGGAAATGCAATTGGCATATAGAAGAATACAGCATACGAAAATGGTAATGAGAAATAGAAAAATGCCTCACTTCTAGACTTAGTGACTTGATGAAGCAGCAGTATTTTTGGATTTCAATTAAAGCAAAAAAGAAAAGAGCAAGTTCACACAAGAGGTTGAAGACTGCTGAAGATGAACCTTGAGTTTCAAAGATGACAAAGGATGAGTTGGGGAGTGTAACAGCATCGCATTAAGGACTTGCCAAGCTCATAGGTAGGAGTGATCTAACAGTCTGCAGGCTTCTCCTAGAGACCAAGGTTAGCAGAAATATGGAATATAAGGGGAACAGTGCCCCATTTCAGGAAGACTATACAAGTGGCCTTGATCTGGAGGAGAGATTGGACTCGCCAGGAAGATTACTGACCTAGCAGCAATTTGGAGCATGAAGAACTCATTGGGTTCCCTACTGAATAATGCACATTGTCACGTTGAAGCCATTGGATGAAATAGTAACTCACACAAGAAAACTGGATGGTGGTAGAGTGAATAGAAAAGAAGTTCAGTGGTAGAATATGTCCTTAGCACGCACAAGGCCCAGCACCAGAAGAAAGAGGAAATTAAAGTAACAATTTAGTTTCATTCTGAAGTGAAACATAAAGACACACTTCTTCCCTTAAAAGCCATCATACTCTTCCTTGATCTGTTTGTGCTTCATTGGGCTTTTCTGTCAGTGTCTACCTCATACAGTTAAATGAATTCATTTATCTAAAATACTTAGAGCACTACCCGGCACAGAATAAATATTACACATACTGCTTTTAAAAAATCTAAAGTACTTAGTATCCAAAACAAAGTAGACATGAAAAAAGAAGCCATTTATCACTGCAATCAATGGAAAGAATTGACTCAATGTATAGCATGCGTTTTCAAGGCAGGCAAGTGAAATTAAGGATGAAGCTGTGACTATAAAACTAAACAAATATGCTATAGGATATAGGATTTGAATTCATTATCACTAATCTGAGATAGTTCTGCATGTGATGAGGGATGGACATAGAACATTGGCATAAACAAGAAATGGAAAATAATAATTCACATGTGATTATGATAATATGCTAACTAAAGATTTGTTTAGCTTGATAAACTATTTCTAGGTAGATTTCAGTCTCTTTACCTGGGACACAGCTTAGTTTTGTTTTACTTTTGTTTATATTCTAGTTCAGTCCTTCTAGTTTTGAAAGTCCATGTGACTTTTGTGTGAGTGTGCTGAGGAAATATTCTTAGTGATTTTTACAGAATTCTCTGTGGAGACTTCCTTACATGTGCCTTACTTTTAGGATATTTCATTTTTTTGTGTCTTGCAAAGTTTGCAGTCACTTTAGTATAATTTGGGAAGAGTTATATATTCTATAAATATTTTGTTTTTTTGCTCACTGTCAACTAGACAAATCCTTATGCACAAATGTTAAATGGGAGATTGTAGCTGCCAAACTCAAAAGTATTTACCTACATTGAATCCATTTTATTAATCACAAAAGTCATTTCCTCTGGACAGGAAAATTCAGATGCTATTTTTTCCTAATGCCAGCAGCACCTTTGACTCTGTCAAGTGAGCACTCCTGGGTTAGCATAATTCTCTCCTCATTTTTCAATGGAGAAAAACATCAATACCTTCATCTTATCAGTTACTCCCAAATAAAGGATAGATAAATATGATTTTAAACCTACTTAGGACCTACCCTGGTCAAAATAACACTGGATTGAAGTACTATCTGCATATTTTGTACCTATGGAAGAAATTACTAAATAGTCTTAGAATCAATTCTCACATCTGCTGGTTATTGTTTCAAAATCTGTTTCAACACAATACTGGATATTCCTGCTATTAATCCATAATAGCTACTCAGCATATGTTAAGTACTGCATTTATGTATTATATACAAGATTATGTTATATTTAGTTATTACTTCACCTGTGAGGCTTCACAGATCTACACGGATAAAAGGAAAAATTTATTCAAGGTCCTAACAGTTGAAAAGCAAGAGAACCAAGATTCAAATGTAGTTTTACTTTCCTTCCAAAATCCTACTTAACCACTGTAATTTTTTTTTTTTTTTGGTCTTTTTGAGACAGGGTCTCTCTGTAGCCCCAGCTACAGAGTCCTGGAACTCACTATGTAGACCAGGCTGGCCTTGACCTCACAGAGATCCGCCTGACTCTGCCTCCTGAGTGCTAGGATTAAAGGTGTGTGCCACCATGCCCGGCTTTAACCTCTATATTTTAATTATTGGTGTTAATGGTGAAATGTCCTTAACATTCATACAATGTATTTAATAAAACAACCATCAGGGTCATAAATATGTAACAAGGAAAATTAAACATTACCAATGTAGATTGTTTTATAGGAATAAAGAAGGTGAACTAAACCAGGGGAAAGAACTAGTAGACAAAGAGAATGTCAGGGGACAAAGAAGGGAAGAATGAAGACATTTCTAAAGAAGGTAAGGAAGCAGTCTTAATAAACAGTTGAAAGATTAGCAGCAGAAGCAACAAAAAACTAGAGTAATCTTGCTAAAATGGTAGCAAGTTAGAGCAGAAGGAAGCGGTCATTTCAGCAGGAAGAGACATTGAGAGTGTGTAGATAACAACTTTAAAAACAGGCTTATAATGAAAATTCAACTAAAATTGCTTTTGCTTGTTATGGTAACACTGTACTTTTAATATATGTGCAAGTTGTCTAAATTAAAAAATTAAAAGAGTCAAAATATTTATACTGTCCCATAAAGGAACAGGATTAATATCACAGTAAGCAACTTTGAACTGCCATTACTATTGCTTTGGGTCTTGATTTTGCTTAGAGTCAGAAAAAGGAGACTACCAATCCTAAATCCAGCTACTTATGAGAAAAATTTTTTTTAAATGCCTTGTATAAAGAAATGCAACTTTCTTAAGGTGTCTACACTTAATTTTTATTAAATTATTCTTTTGTCTAGCTATGAGCAAAGAAGACAAGTCTTCATTAACTGATGCTGTGGAGCAAGTTGCCAAACAACAACAGTTGCAAAGATCAGAACTAGAGAAGCATAAAAAAGTTCTGTTCCATTTGCAGGTAACCAATTTCATATACACTTTTAAATGTCTCTAATTTTCTTTCGAATTTTTATTGAAAGCCAACTTATAAGAAATAGAGTCTGGGCTGATATCTGTTCTGCACAGCAAGCAGGAGATCCTGCGTCCCATCCCCAGAACCCTCATGGTTGTGCCTGAGAAGGTGGAGAAAGGCAGATCCCTGGACTCCCTGACCAGCCAGCCTAGCCTACTTAGCAAGCTCCAGATCAATGAAGTCAGTGGCACTGAAGAATGACAGCTGAGGTTGTCCTCTGAATTCCACATTCATGCACACACTCATGCATGTGCACCTTTACACACTCCCCCAGCAAAACAAAAAGATTCGATTGTGTGATTCATTTTCAATTTGTATGTATTCCCTAGATTATTCTGTTCTCCTTAAGTAGAATCATACAGTGTTCTAGGCTTACTCCCATACAGTGTCATTGTAGCAACAAAGTCATTGCAACTGTAGTGTTTAAGTATATAAAACCCAACATGTCACATAGAATCATTTTAAATTTACCCCATGTTAGTTTTTTCCCCTAAAACCATGAATTCAAGAAAACCAGTAAAGCCATGGCTTGTGAATGATTAGATATGAATGAGCATTTCAGTGGCCACCCTCTGTGCTATCTCCTCTTCACAGTGCATTCTAACCCCCTTCAGGGAGAGTGGGAGCCCATCTCAATCTTTGTATGCAGCATAATTAAACACAGCTGCCATCTATGACTATGACTAGAGAAATGAAAACAGGGCAAAGATTGTTATTAACTACATCATAGAAAAGAAAAAAATGGGCTGTGGGAGTGAACTGCCTCGTTTGGAAGGCCAGGTTTGCAAATTTCAGCTCTACAGTTAAGTTTGTCTGTGCATCTTTTTCCTCATTTATAAATTAGAGCTAATATTACTTGGCTACAAGGGTTTTATAAGCATTAGCGTGAACTTATAAAGATGTATAAAATACCATATTAGAGGCCCCAGTAAAAGTATAGGCCTTGATTTTGACATTGACTTAAGCATTAATGCATTAGCAGACATACAAGGATGGTAATTATATTAATGTGGTAGTATAGATTTCTTATACCTATTTCTATTGCTACTCCCTTTTAAAAAATATTTTATTATTATTTTTGTTTTATGTGCTGAGTGTATTGCCTGTATGTATATAAGTGCATTCATGCCATACAGTGCCCATGGAGGTTAGAAGAGGGCATTGGATACCCTGGAATTGGAGTTATGGATGGTTGCTAGATGCCTCATGAGTGCTGGGAATCAAACCCACGTCCTCTGCAAAAGCAGACAGTGCTCTTAACTGCTGAGCCATCTCTCCAGCCCCATTAGTCACTTCTAAAAAAAATTTCCATAATAGAATATAATACAAAAATAATGTCAGAAGGAAACTTTTGTTGGAAATGGATATATTTTTTATCTTAATTGTAGTGATGGCCTCAGAGCGTATGAAAAGTGACAGAATTTGGTGCCAGCAAGATGGCTCACTGGGTACAGTGGAAGCTGACATCTTGAGTTTTATTTCAGGAACCCACAGTGGAAGGAGAGAACCAACTTTTTAGAGTTGTTCTTTGACCTGCCCATGCATGCCAGAACATGCATACATTCTCTCTCTCTGTTTCTGTCTGTCTGTCTCTCACACACACAAATAAATAAATAAATAATAAATAAATAAATAAATAAATAAGCTTAAATGCAATTTTAAATAGGTGGAATTTGCTGACCTCAATTTGGTCTCAATAAAGCTGTAAACATAAAAAGGAAAGCAGATGAGAGAGAGGGAAAAATAGGAGCAGTACTAGTAACAATATATTTCTAATGTAAGGGTAGAAATGAATCAAAAGAAAAAGATACTAACCCAGTAACAAAATATAATCACCAAATTGGTGCAAATGTTGTATGGAGTTAATATCTGAATTGTTGGTGACTTGATGTAGCCAGGAGAATATCTCTCCCTTTTCTTACCATTATGTATGTATCCCTGATTTCATAAGTATTTATTGATCATCACTTTGTTCTAGGTACCGATTTAAGAGTTAGTAAGATGTGGGCTGGAGAGATGGCTCAGCAGTTAAGAGCACTCATTGCTCTTGCCAAGGACCTGGGTTTGATTCCCAGCACCCACATGGTGGCTAACAATTGTCCATAACTCTGACACCCTCTTCTGACTGGGTATTGCATGACACTGGTGCATGTACATATATGCAGGCAGTACACTCATACACATAAAAAATAAAAATAGTAAAATATTTTAGAAGAGTTAGTAAGGTGATGATGAAGAAGATGGACAAAGTTCTTGCAGTCATAGTGCTTACATTCTAGTCTGGGAAGAAAGCTGTAAACAAACAGATAAAAGGAAAATAATTCCAGAGATTGATGCATTTCAGAGGAAATGCTGTAAGGCAATATGTAGAAGGTAATGGGGTGGAGTGTGACTGCTTCCTTTTTTGTTTTGATTTCACAAAGACTGTTCTGAGGAATAATAGCAGTCAAATGTGAAAGACAGAAACCCAGCAGGTAATAGCGAAGGGCAAAGAATTTTTAGCATTTTTATTTATTATTTGTGTTTGTATGTGTAAGTGTGGACATGGGCATTCCATAGTACTCATGTGAGGATCAGAGGACAACTGGTCTCTTTTCCAGTTGAAGGAAGTAAAGTTCCTACTGAGCCGTCGTCCCAGCCTGGGGCTGGGAATTTTAAGTTAGATGAATCAATAATTATAAATCTCCATAAGTAGGAAGGAACTAAACCAAGGACAGCCTTGACTTATACCTTTTATCAATGCCTTCCTGACATCTAACACATAGGCCAGATCAGGCAAGGCTAGGCCAGGTGATATGGAACTTGCCTAACTCCACCACCAAAAAAAAAGTCTCTAATAAGACAGAGAAATTTCCTTGTACTTAGGATCTGAAGGGAAGCAAGGGACCTGAGAGGCTCCTGGTTGTCTCCTCAGGGCCACTCAGGGCTGTCTATAGCTGTGATGTTATATCTCTGCTAATGCTCTTTTACTAAGAGCCTCATCATGGCTGGCTTATGGCCATGAGCATGGGAGTAATAAAGCCCATTCTGAAAGGTAATTTTATGCCAGTTCCTTTCAAAGAGCCTGCTTTCTTTGTCATTTATAACAATTATGATGTGTTCCCATCATGGGTGGACATACATTCACCTCTTGATTCTGAATCTGATCACGTGACTAGCTGTAGTGTTAGCAGAGGTGACTCAAGCAAAGCTTTAAAATGCTATTACATAGCTTAGTTTCCATGTTTCTGTGTCTGGAATTATCATAAGAAAGATCTGCCTGGGCTGGCCCACTGGCATATAATACATACAAAACAAAGTCAGACATCTCTGTCAACCAAGTTAAGACCAACTTACATTGTCTTACGACCAGCCAGTACCCATTTATTCATCATTCCCCAAATCCCACTGCCCTCCCTACAGCCCCTCCCCCCTCCAGAAGGCTTCCTTCCTTCTCCCAGTTAGTCCCCACTTCTGCTTTCCTTGTACATGTATTCCATTACCTCTCTATTTCCCACCTCCCTTAAGATGACTTCCTCCTTGCTCATGATCCCCATTCTAGTTTCATGACTGACAAAACACATCTCCAGATATACACACAAACATGTATGTTCCTCATATGAGAGAAAACATGGCATTGTGCCATTTGTTTTTGTGAGGCTGGCTTACTTCATCCAGCATAATGATTTCCAGTTTCCTACAAGTATCATGATTTCATTTTTCATTATGTCTGCATAAAATTCCATTGTGCAGATGTACTATATTTTCTTTACTCATTCATCAGTTGATGGATACCAGGCTGGTTCCATTTCTTGACTATTGTGAACAGTGCAGCTATAAACATGGATATGCAAATATCTCTTTGATATGCTGATTTAGACCACTTCAGAAATGTGGGGGGGGGTGGGGGGGTGGGGGGGTGGATGGGTG